ACCATTATCTATCCTCCAGCAGAGTATCTAAATATGTAAAAATATTGAATCATGAGATCCACTAACCTCTTTTATAGTGTTTTTCTAGGCAAATGAAAAAAGTGATCCTGGAATATGCCTTTCCTATTTCCTTTTTATATTCTGCCAATTTGAATGGCCTTTCTGACCCAGGCACATGAACCACCTCTGAGCAGTCTGGATACAAAAGGACATAAGGTCCTTCGTGCATGTCCTTGTTAAATGTTGTCATTTTCTGGACAGCTTGTTTCAGTAGATCAGGTGCTGCTACCTCTGGGTCTGTAAATAACGGTAGTGTTTTCCCTCTTAGAGGTTTTAAATCAGTTCCACTTGGCACCATCAATCCTACGTTTATCTAGTAAAATAACAAAGATATCATTAATGTATACATAGGTAAAATAAATATACACAAACACACAAATACATATAGAGCATTGCAAAATTGTATAGGACGGTCAGTACACCTTACCTGGACGTGTTTTCTTTCTTTAGGCCTATATCTTCCTTTTGGCCCATAGTTAAAAGACTGTCGTTCTTTTGATTTCGAGCTTCTGTACTCCATGAACTGTTTGTATGATGGGCATGGTTGTTCTGCAGAAATGGACAGAATTCCGAAACAGAAAGTTAGAAGCCGCTCAAAAAATCATTAGCGTTACTGTCCTTAGATAGCGTTTTGGTTTTGCTAAACTTACTTTGCATAGCACTGTCCGGCTGTCGAGACGTCCCCTGTGTTTCCAATGTTTCCGTCTGGTCCGCGTCCTTTAAAAACTCCAAACACCGACCACACGTAAAGCAAAACCGCGTTAAGCTGTTCATGTGTTTGCCACAAAACGGGCAAAACATCCCTCGGCCACAGTCCATGTTCGGGCGGTCACCATAAACTACTTTGACGCCATAAACTCCACAACAACAATAAGAAAAGACCACGCTCATCACTTCCGTGTCACTTCCGGTATATGGTACATTCCCTTTCCGTGACGAATCTGTCATTTGTAAATTTGTTTCGGGACTGGTAAAAGTGTTTTGCGTCTTGTTAATTTGTTTTCTAAAATGTAAATTTGTTTTCTAAAATGTAAATTTGTTTTATAAAATGTTAATTTGTTTTATAAAATGTTAATCTGTTTTCCAAAATGTAAATTTGTTTTCCAAAATGTAAATTTGTTTTCCAAAATGTTAATTTGTCTCGAGCTTTGTAAAAGTGTTTCATTCTTTGTAATGTTGCTTTGCACTTCCCGGCCATCGTAGAAAATGTCCCATGGCTTCAATACCGCACTCGTGAGGAACATTCGTGTATAACGACTCAACATCAAAAGTAACTAACAAAGTATTCTCAGGGAGAGGATCAAGAGATTCAATAATAGAGATCATACTGCTGGTGTCCTTTACAAAGGAGGGGAGCTGTTATGCGACTGGTCTAATAAAAAAGTCAGCAAAAGTCGATAAAGGGGCCGTTACTGCATCAATGCCCGCTACAATAGGACGCCCTGGAGGTTTTGTAACATTCTTGTGTAATTTCGGCAAATAACTTAAATACCCATCTAGGACAGTAAAGATAGTGTTCTGAAATTGGGCAGTGGGGTCACTTCTGAGTTCCTTGTAGAAGGTGTTGTCAAGCAGTTGTCTATGATCATTTACATAAACTGTCCTATCCATGAATACAACCGACCCACCCTTATTAGCAGGTCGGGTAAGGACTGTCGTATCTGATTGTAAATCAAGCAAAGCTTGTTTTTATCCTTAGGTAAATTATGGAAAGATATGTACTCATGTTTGTTCTTCAGGAGATGAACACCATCTTTTTCAACGAGTCTGCAATATGTCTCAATAGAGTGATTGCGATTGGCTGGAGGTACAAAATAACTCTTACTTCTAAAAGGAGTCGGAGTATGTGCAGGTGAGCAAGCTAAATGTTCAGTTGAAATATCACGATTTGGGGAGCTAAAGTATTCCCTTAAACTGATGTTTCTAAAAAAAAAAAAATAACATGTCTCCCTTAACATCGAAATCTGAGTTGTAGGCACAAAAGATAACCCTTTATTAAGCAAGGAGACATGGACAGGGCTCAATATCTTGCTTGATAAATGAAAGACACTCAGTCCCGTGGGTTCTGGGACCGTGTGAACGGTCTCCTCTGCCTCCGGTAGTCGTTTCTTCTTACCCTGTCGGCCCAGTCTATCGTTGGATTCAAAACTGCCACTGGAAGCGGATGAGCCGCTGGTTGTAGAGCGTTGGTCAGACGGGATTGGATAGAAGTAAGCAGCCTCCATCCTGCGTCTGTCATGGAGAGGAGGAGCAGTACCTCTTTTGTCAGGGTTTCTCCTGAAGTAGACTTTGTCCTCTGCCTTGTCTTTAATGAGGTGTTCAGTAAGGGTCTGGAACAAACAGACGTGACTGTCATGAGCCTTCATGTACCGAACAAGCTTTTGAGTGTTGGAGGTTCGTCTTCTTGATGTCCCTCACTTGGGGATGACTTATTTTGTTCAATGGACTGTGTTCTAATGATTCATGCACAGATACAGGAAACCAATAAGTGTTCATATTATATATATATATATATTATATTATTATTATACATGGGATAGTATAAAAGTAATCCTTCTACCACCCCCCCCCCCCCCCCCCCCCCAAAAATAAAAATATATATATAAAAATAAAAATAATAATAATAATAAAAACATAAAATAAAAAACAAAATATATATATAAAACAAACGAAAATAAAAAATCTACTCTAAAAAATTAAAAAATAATAATACAAAAATAATACCACAAAAAAATAATACAAAATAACAATAATTGTAAAGTGGTTGTCCCACTGGCTATCATAAGGTGAATGCACCAATTTATAAGTCGCTCTGGATAAGAGCGTCTGCTAAATGACGTAAATGTTAAAAATATTCGGAAGAATGACAAGTGCTGATTTCTCCCCACGGTTCTGGTTTTGAGGCTTGGGCAGGCTGCAGTTCATCTGTCTAATCCCCTGCAAGGAGAAATACATTTAATGTATATTCCTGTTTGATATGCATGCATATAATTAAATTGGACATGTTTTCCTTTGTAATATGACAGTGTTTGTTTTGTATCCAATGCATTCAGCTTACATTAGGATGAAGCAATGGAGCAATACATTTGTTTCCATCTGTCCAATAGTATTTCTCATCCACTTTCACCTAATTCTAGTCATTCATGATATTGTTTGACTATTTTGGGAGGTGATGATTTACAGTCGACTCCTGATAAGAGCTCAAATACATTTTTACCTTACCAAATTATTAGATGGCCTGCAAAAAAAATACATTTACGCACTGAAAAAATGAGCGTGGACCAGAATGAGGCGCTCTCCTCTCTATATATAGTTCCTGCACTGAGGAATACCATCTTCAGAGAATGTTGTGATAATTTATCTGCAGATAATCGATGACTGGAGCTCAAAAAGAAACAGTAACAGTAAACAAACCATGGAGCCAAATTAAAGTTTCTTTCACATTCTTTATTTTGACAGGAAGTCAGTGCTGAGACAGGTCTCTTTTCCAGGGGAACCCCGTATACTACCAAACTACACATTAAATAAACTTACTTATACACTACAATACATGAAAAACAAAACACAATCATAAAAAATTTATTAAAAATACATTATTCAGTAACAAGGTCAAATGCCCCAGAAACAGCAAATCCTCAAATTTTTAAGCACATTGTAGATCATTCCAAACGCAAGGCGCAAGGAAACCAAAGGCTGATTTAGCTAATTCCCTAGACACCAAAGGAGTCTCCAGAGTTAACCAGCCCTGTGAACGGGTTTGGTACCTTGTCATTTTAAAATCTGAACAGTTTGTGGAGTTAACAAAAAGAGAATAATTGTGTGATCGACGTGACTACATAGAGGTAATAAAAGTGCCTCCTGTCATAAAATGAAGGGCACTATGAAAAACGTTATCCAGGTGTTTAAGAGTAGAGGAAGCTGCACTTTGATAAAACAGTACCACCATAATCAAGAACAGCTAGAAAGGCTGACTGCAAAATATGCGATTCGGTTTCTGACCTTCACAAAAAAGAGCTGTTAACTATTGTGCTTAAACTCCGTTTGTAACTGAATTTATAAAACGATGCCACTCGCGCAATTAAGAAATAAATAAGGAGTAAAGAAATAAAGTGGTGGAAAAAGTATCCAAATGTCATACTTGGGTAAAAGTAAAGATACTTTAATAGAAAATGACTCAAGTAAAAGTGACCCAGTAAAATACTACTTCAGTAAATGTCTAAAAGTATTTGGTTTTAAATATACTGAAGTATCAAAAGTAAAAGTATTAATGTAATGCGTACTTGTGTGTGGAAGGGGAAATGTATGGAGTAAAAAGTACATTATTTGGCAAAGTTACAGGATAGAGCACCTGGTGATTTTGGCAGGGAAGTTACAATGCCCCTCTTTGGCACAGTGAGAGGTCAAATCTTAGCACCTAAGAAGACCCTGATCAGAATATCCCTTCAGCAACTCCCTACGCGTGACCTCTGCCGCGACCCAGGCAATTCAAAACAGTCTCCCTCTTTCCAACTCAGCCAGGCTTTGATTGCTTCTGTACGCAATAACTGGTGCTTTTACTAGTAAAGTGCATTGTCCCTGTCAAATAAATGAATAAATCAGCACATATTACTGACTACCTAAGCGACACCAAAGATGGCGGATGCAACAACAAATGCTGACGACATAGTGCTATATATGGAGCGGTAGGCAGACTAGTGGTTAAGCGCATGGGGCCAGTAACCAAAAGGTTGCTGGTTCCAATCCCTGAGCCACCTAGGTGAAAAATCTGTCGGTGCCCTTGAGCAAGGCACTTAACCCTAGTCGCTCTGGATATGAGCTTCTGCTAAATGACTAACATGTAAATATAGCGATGCATAGTTCTATATAGTCATAGCCAAGCATGGTCCTTGGTAGCGCATGTAACTCCAGGATAGTGGGTTTGATTCCTGGGGCCGTCCATACAGGTCTGCTAAATGGCATATAATACTATTATTATAAATTAGATCTTTTACAATCTTTTAAACCTTTGACAGACTGGGTTCACTGGCCTCATCTTCCTCATTCTTCGTCGTCTCCTTGTTCATCTTCATTAAGGGTTCTGCATTACTGACGTCCAACGCTCCTGTTTAAATGGATGAGAGACAGGACTTGAAACAGAACCGTCTAACACGTCACATGAACACAGTCAACTAAGTATGTGTTTCACATCCCTGGACTGGTGAAATCTACTATGTAGTCAAGTCCTCTGTTCAACCTCTTGACCATGTAGACCAGTGGTCACCAACCTTTTCTGAGTCAAGATCACTTTGAGTGAAAAAGCAAGCCGAGATCTACCCCTCAGATTCTCTTTTAAACATGACTGAAAAAACATAAGCAACATTAACCAATTAAAAACTGTTCTGTAGCAATGAGGTTTGTACAGTAGGCTAGAAGTCCAATACATTATCACTGCATATTGGCTATGCTTGGATTTCCCTGCCAATCTTGTTCTTCTCAGACCACTTAGAAATTACATTTTTATAAATGTGTTATATGATCACACTGATAATAGATCATTTGTTGTATTATTTGTGAGGCACAGCTAAGTGAGAATAATAATTAGCTTTTATTTTTACTGAACTGATGACCTTCATCTGATGGTCAGTCTGAGGGGAGGGAGAGAGCAGCGGTGAGGCTGACTGATGACCTGTATCTGATGGTCAGTCTGAGGGGAGGGAGAGAGCAGCGGTGAGGCTGACTGATGACCTGCATCTGATGGTCAGTCTGAGGGGAGGGAGAGAGCAGTGGTGAGGCTGACTGATGACCTGTATCTGATGGTCAGTCTGAGGGGAGGGAGAGAGCAGTGGTGAGGCTGACTGATGACCTGTATCTGATGGTCAGTCTGAGGGGAGGGAGAGAGCAGTGGTGAGGCTGACTGATGACCTGTATCTGATGGTCAGTCTGAGGGGAGGGAGAGAGCAGTGGTGAGGCTGCCAATCACCCGACTCACTGTCCCTCCACCCTCCTTCCCTCTGCTGAGAAAAGGACAGTCTTCCAGCTGATGGCGAAAACTCAAGTCGCACTGCATAATATCTGCCTCATGCACCAATTCATATTGTTGCTCCTATGACCAGAGAAAGTGAAATATTCCTCGAAATATTAAAAAAGACACAAGCCGCTAATAATAACAAACTCAAACTTAGCCTGACACTTTGCTACTCATTCATTGCAGCTGCAGTGCTGGTTGTAGCAGAGTAGGAAGAACGCTCATTTTATGTCTAATAAAAGTGTTGAACTAAGTGTTGACAGTGCTGAATAACAACAAACATGAACTTAAACGTTTTTGAAATCTCACAGCATCAACTTTGCTGTATTCGTTGAGTCTCTCTCTAGTCATGGTTTTAACGTTTTTGAAATCTCACAGTATCAACTTTGCTGTGCGTTAGAGGCTTTGTTTTACAGCCAATGGCTCGAAGAAACTGTGCAGACACGGTGATCTGAGCTATCTGATTGGCCAGTGGTCGGCCTATAGGAGCACTTGATTTGCTCTCTGGACCTGCCGGGTAGGCAGAGTTCTATGATGTTGTATGTTCACATGAAATGGGAACACTTTTCCTTCCCGGCACCAGGGCTGCTGAATCAAGTGGACCTACTGCAAACAGCACCAAAGACATAAAATAAATAGGAACACAAGGCTTTATCGTTGGGTTTTTTACAGAAATGTTTGGTTATCGACTAGGAATGTCTTGGAGATGGAGCAGTCAATCGCGATCGACCGGTTGGTGACCACTGATGTAGACAGACATGAATTACCTCTCTCTTTAGGTTGTTTTATATAGCGCAGTTAGACCTCCACCAGATAACACTACCACACCAGGAAGTAACTCCCATGACTTACGTTTCTCCATGCTGATGGTCAACATCCCTTTTTTTATCAACAGGTAGAGACCTCCAGCACCAGCTGCAACTCCAACAAGAGCTGCAACAAGAACTGTCAGCCACAAGGACTGGCACTGCGTAGGAAACATTTGATCTGAAACACAGGATGTAGAATTATTACAATACCTAATGCGTATTACACATGAAATGACTTAAACAACAGGACATTTTTTACCGATAGTGCCTTCTTTCAAATATCCAAAACAGACCTTCACCTGGAATATGAACCCGTCTCTCCTTCATGTGTTTGATCTCCGGCTGTTGAACCCGACAGGTGAACGTGTTGTTGTCCGTTTTCGGGACGATGACATGGCTTGTCACAGTGTAGCAGCCTTCACGGTCTCTGGATGTCTCTGGAGGTCCAGCAGCAGGGAGGACACGTCCATGAACGTCACACCACTCCATGACAGGCTCTGGGTAGCAGCCTTCAGCCTCACAGCGCAGGACCACCTCATCACCTTTGATTCCTTCAATGGAGATTACTGGTCGAGACGCTGCACCTATAGAGATACAGAGATATACCACGGCTCTCAGCCAATCAGCATTCAGGGCTCAAACCACCTTGTTTATAATGTTATACCACGGGTATGACAATAAAATAATTAAGTTGGTAACCAGTTTATAATAGCAATAAGGCAACTCAGGGTTTGTGGTATGTGGTCAATATCCCACGGCTAATGGCTATATCCAGGTTGCGTCGTGCATAAGAACAGACCTTAGCCGTGGTATATTGGCCATATGACACACCCCCTCGTGACTTATTGCTTAAATATAACAAGGGTTTGCTGATACTTATGGACCTTAAAATTCAAAAAGTAACTTCCAATGACTCACAGCATTGTACATTGAATTAGCTGGGGTAATCACACTATTAAGGTTAGCATGTAGGCTAACCAATCTAACTAATACTCATCAGGCAATGGACTTGACATTGAACTCACCCTTGATGTCATGTGATCTGTCTCTTAAGGGGGATTGGGTGGTCAGCAGGTGTGTTGACTCACCAACAATGAGTTGAATGGTGGTTTTCTGGTGGTCCAACAGTGGAACGTAACAGGTGTAGTTTCCAGCATCAGAGAGTTCCACTCTGGTCAGCTTTAAACTAGCGTTGCCTTCCTCTAGTTCTTCTTTAAACAGTGACGTCCTTCCCCTGAATGGTGGATTCTGGAGCAGAAAGTTATCCTTCTCATCTCTGTAAAGATGCACCTCTTTTGGTTTTAGGTCAGGTCTCTGCCATTCTACTGTTTGATACACAGCGCTAACGGTGGGTCTCAGGGTGCAAGGCAGGATGACGTCATCGCCAACTAAGGCCACAATGGGCTCAGCAGAACCAGCAACCTGAACTGTCCCTGAGAAGAAACAGATTACAGAGTGATATACTTTGAGACAAAGCAAGATACAGGCCTACTGAATGATGAACAGGTTGACAGTGACTCCCACAACAGCTAAGGCAGTTTGAACCAGGAAATGGTCTATGAACATTGACTAGCATTAGCAGTCCTACAAATTTGAACTTACATTCTAAAACCATAAACCACCCTATAACCCACACCGACACACTGGTGTATCAATCTGATTGATGGATTGTGTTGTGCAGTAAGCAGGCTCAGGTGTAGAACTGTGGCTCCTTCCACCTTCAAAGAATAGGCCAGAGGACCAACCATGGAGAATAGTAAGACACTTCATTATTACTATTTATATAACTACACTATTGTTTGTCCTCCTGTGTCTGGGCATGTTTTTCAGTATAAAGTACTCTGCAGCCGCTCAGTGTGGACACCAGGTGAGGCCACACACACAGATTCCTGTTGAACTGTGTCTCTTTAACTACCTTATTTCCTCAATAACAGTCTCTCTGCTTCACTTCATCCCTCTCCCCCCTTCTCCCTAAATCCTCTAGGTTATATCAGCTGTGTCGGTGAACCCCTCCCGCATCTGGACTGGCTACACAGAGGGCACAGCATGATGAGAGGTGAGAGGTCACTTGGTCGGGTCAACAGGAAGTATTATTAAAGAGATGCTTTACATTGAAAAACAGATAGAGACGTAGTAGTCCCAGAGTTAATGATCCAAGGTCAGTTTTGCATTTCACCTCCTGATGATTATGATGACTGACAGTGCTAGAATAAAAAGGCTTAATCATGCTCTCTCTCTCTCATCAGTTTCTCGTCTGCAGGTATGGTTTGATGTGAGAGAGGATGCCAACCCCCAGTCCCGTCATCGCCACCTCACCCGCTCTTAAGATAACCTTCGGGCCGACTGGGGGCCCAAGGCTGGTTAGGAGACACCGCTAGAGACAGTATTATGGAACTGTGATGAACTGAGAGAATATGAAGTTTAGTAGCACTGTAATTCATTAATCATATGCTGTCTTCCCTAGTAGCACTGTAATTCATTAATCATATGCTGTCTTCCCTAGTAGCACTGTAATTCATTAATCATATGCTGTCTTCCCTAGTAGCAACTGTAATTCATTAATCATATGCTGTCTTCCCTAGTATCACTGTAATTCATTAATCACATGCTGTCTTCCCTAGTAGCACTGTAATTCATTAATCAATTGCTGTCTTCCCTAGTAGCACTGTAATCATTAATCATATGCTGTCTTCCCTAGTAGCACTGTAATTCATTAATCATATGATGTCTTCCCTAGTAGCACTGTAATTTCATTAATCATATGCTGGTCTTCCCTAGTAGCACTGTAATTCATTACTCATATGCTGTCTTCCCTAGAGCACTGTAATTCATTAATCATATGCTGTCTTCCCTAGTAGCACTGTAATTCATTAATCATATGATGTCTTCCCTAGTAGCACTGTAATTCATTAATCATATGCTGTCTTCCGTAGTAGCAGTGTAATTCATTAATCATATGCTGTCTTCCCTAGTAGCACTGTGATTCATTCGTCATATGCTGTCTTCCCTAGTACCACTGTAATTCATTAATCATATGCTGTCTTCCCTAGTAGCACTGTAATTCATTAATCATATGCTCTCTCCCTAGTAGCACTGTAATTCATTAATCACATGCTGTCTTCCCTAGTAGCACTGTAATTCATTAATCATATGCTGTCTTCCCTAGTAGCACTGTAATTCATGAATCACATGCTGTCTTCCCTAGTAGCACTGTAATTCATTAATCATATGCTGTCTTCCTAGTAGCACTGTAATTCATTAATCTATGATGTCTTCCCTATAGCACTGTAATTCATTAATCATATGCTGTCTTCCCTAGTAGCACTGTAATTCATTAATCATATGCTGTCTTCCCTAGTAGCACTGTAATTCATTATCACATGCTGTCTTCCCTAGTAGCACTGTAATGCATTCATCACTGCTGTCTTCCCAGTGCACCTGTATTCATATCATATGCCTGTCTCCCAGTAGCACTGTAATTCATTAATCACATGCTGTCTTCCCTATTGCACTGTTAATTCTTTAATCATTGCCGGTCTTCCCTAGTAGTACTGTAATTCATTAATCATATGAATTGGTCTTCCCTATATCAACTGTATTATTATCACTGCTGTCTTCCCTAGTGCCACTGTATTCATTAATCATATGCTGTCTCCCTAGTATCACTGTAAATTCATTACATATTCTGTCTTCCCTAGTTAGCACTGTAATTCTTAATCATATGCTGTCTCCTAGTAGCACTGTATTCATTAATCACATGCTGTCTTCCCTATTTTGTAGCATGCAATTCATTCATCATATGCTGTCTTCCCTAGTAGTAAACTGTTGAATCATTCATCATATACGTCTTGCCCTAGTACACTGTGGATTCATTCATCATTCTGTCTTCCCTATTATCCTGTAATTCATTAATCATATGCTGTCTTCCCTAGTAGCACTGTAATTCATTAATCATATGCTGTCTTCCTATAGCACTGTAATTCATTATCAATGCTGTCTTCCCTAGTAGCACTGTAATTCATTAATCATATGCTGTCTTCCCTATAGCACTGTAATTCATTATCATATGCTGTCTTCCCTAGTAGCACTGTAATTCATTAATCACATGCTGTCCTTCCCTAGTAGCACTGTATTCATTAATCATGCGTCTCCCTAGTAAGCAACTGTATTCATTAATCATCATGCATGTCTTCCCGTAGTAGCACTGTAATTCATTATCATATGCTGTCTTCCCTAGTAGCACTGTAAATTCATTAATCAATGATGTCTTCCCTAGTAGCACTGTAATTCATTATCATATGCTGTCCTTCCCTAGTAGCACTGTAATTCATTAATCATATGATGTCTTCCCTAGTAGCCTGTAATTCATTCAATCACATTGCTGTCTTCCCTAGTAGCACTGTAATCATTAATCATATGCGGTCTTCCCTAGTATCACTGTAATTCATTAATCATATGATGTCTTTCCCTAGTATCACTGTGATTCATTAATCATATGCTGTCTTCCCTAGTAGCAACTGTAATTCATTAATCATAGGGCTGTCTTCCCTAGTAGCGAACTGTAATTCTTAATCATATGCTGTTTCCTAGTAAAGCACTGTAATTCATTAATCCCCTCTGTCCGTCCCTAGTATCACTGTAATTCCTTAATCATATGCTTTCTTTCCCTAGTAGCACTGTAATTCATTAATCATAATGCTGTCTTCCCTAGTAGCAATGTATTCATTAATCATCTGCGGTCTTCCCTAGTAGCATGTAATTCTTATCATATAGTCTTCCTAGTAGCACTGTAATTCAATTAATCATATGCTGTCTTCCTGTAGCACTGTATTCACATTCATCATAGTATACTGTCTTCCCCTAGTAGCACTGTAATTCATTAATCATAGCTGTCTTCCCTAGTAGCACTGTAATTCCATTAATTCACATGCTGTCTTTCCCTAGTAGCACTGTAATTCATTCTCATATGCTGTCTTCCCTAGTAAGCACTGTAATTCATTAATCCCATGCGTCCTTCCTAGTAGCACTGTAATTCTTTAATCATTGCTGTCTTCCTAGTAGCACTGTAAGTCATTATCAATAATGTCTTCCCTAGTAGCACTGTATTCTTAATCATATGGCTTCTTCCCTATAGCACTGTAAATTATTAATATTAATCATATGCTGTCTTCCCTAGTCGCACTGTAATTCATTCATCAATATACCTGTCTTCCCTAGTAGCACTGTAATTCCTTAAATCATATGCTGTCCTTCCCTAGTAGCACTGTAAATTCATTATCATATCTGCTTCCCTAGTACACTGTAATTCATTATCACATGCTGCTTCCCGAGTAGCAACGTACTTCATTAATCTCTGCTGTCTTCCTTAGTGCACTGTAATTCTTAATCACATGCTGTCTTCCCTAGTACACTGTAATTCATTAATCATATTGCTGGCTTCCCTAGTAGCACTGTAATTCTTAATTATGCTGTCTGTCCCCTAGTAGCACTGTAATTCATTAATCAATGCTTCTTCCCTAGTAGCACTGTAATTCATTAATCACATGCTGGCTTCATAGTAAGCACCTGTAATTCATGAATCATATGCGGTCTTCCCAGTCACTGTAATTCATTAATCACATGCTGTCTTCCGTGTAGCACTGTAATGCATTAATCATATGCTTCTTCCCTAGTAGCACTGTAATTCATTAATCATATGAGTCTTTTTCCTAGTAGCACACGTAATTCATTAATCATATGCTGTCTTCCCGGTATCACTGTAATTCATTAATCATATGCTGTCTTCCCTAGTAGCACTGGTAATTCATTAATCACATGCTGTCTTCCCTAGGGAGCACTGTAATTCATTAATCATATGCTGTCTTCCTAGTAGCACTGTAATTCTTAATAACATGCGTCTTCCCTAGTAGCACTGTAATTCAGTAATCAATGCTGTCTTCCCTCGTAGCACTGTAATCAATATAATCACATGCTGTCTTCCCTAGTATCCACGTAATTCCCTTAATCAGATGCGGTCTTCCCTAGTAAGCACTGTAGTGTCAGTAATCACATGCTGCTTCCCTAGTAGCACTGTATTCATTAATCACATGCTGTCTCCCTAGGTAGCACTGTAATTTCTTTAATATATGCTGTCTTCCCCTAGTACCCTGTAATTCATTAATATAATTCGTGTCTTCCCTAGTACACTGTACTTCATTATCATATGCCTGTCTTCCTAGTAGCACTTAATTCATTAATCACATCTGTCTCCCTAGTAGCACTGTAATTCATTATCATATTCTGTCTCCCTAGTAGCACTGTAATTCATTAATCACATGCTTTCTCCCCCTAGTAGCAGTCAATGTAATTCATTATCATATGCGTCTTCCCTAGTAGCACTGTAATTCATATCAATACTGTCTTCCCTCGTAGCACTGTAATTCATTAATCATATGCCGTCGTCCCTAGTATCACTGTACTTCATTAATCATTTGCTGTCTTCCCTAGTAGCACTGTAAGTTCATTAATCATATCTGCTGTCTTCCCTAGTGCACACTGTAATTCATTCATCCTATGCTGTCTTCCCTAGT